GCTATATAATGTAATTTTTAATGTATTAAATGTTTTCTTTTAAGACCTTGTTGAGTAGTTTTATTTATATAATAAAAATTTAATTTTGGTTAATATTGTATTTAATAGAAATGCTATAAGTTGAAAATGGACTGTTTTGCAAATAGTATAAATGAAAGGTGATATTACTAATTTTGAAATAAATATGAAACATAATATATTAAAAATATTGTTTTGGAGTGAAAAATGGAGTAATACATTGGAGTAAAACTCAACTGCATTTTGGAGTTACTCCATTTTAGAGTAGAAAATGGAGTAATACATTGGAGATGCTCTTAGCCGGGAAAGTTACCCGGGAATCAAAATTATGTGCATATTTTCTGATTTTTACATAATTATTATTTAGACTTTGTAAGGGTTTGAAATTAAGGTTGGAGATAGAGTTTGGAAGTACGAAGGGTTTGGATTTTGGAAGTTAGTTTGAGGTTGGAGATTACAGTCTGAAAAAATATGTTAAAAGTTCATAAATCTTCAGAAGTGATATATATTTGCTTAAGTTATGAATTTTTTTTTAATGAAATTATATTAGAGTTTATTCTTTAAATTTGTTATTAGTGTTAGATGATTGAGTTTAGGGTATGTTTAGGGTTTAGAAAAAAAAATTGAATTTTTTTTTCTTTTACTGAGCTCACTTACTGGATTTAGAATTTGGTATGTAGTTTTTTTCGTTTTTAATTATTAGTTGTGTAGATTATCTTTTTTTGTCAAATTAGTTTTTGTATTTATCTTTAGTTTTATGATGAAATATTGAAATTTTGGGGTTTATGTTTATATATTTTTACTATTGATTTTGTGGCCAATAGTAGTTATTTGATTTCCACAAATTATTTTGTGGCTAATTGTGACTTTTTTTCCACAAATAGCCACAAGATATAGTTTGTAACTATTTAGCCACTAAAAACTACAAAATAGCTACTAATTTCAGCTTTTTAAATATTATTGCTATTTTGTGGCTATTTGTAGCTTATAAACTACCGTCACAAAACCTTTGTATCTAATTTGTGGCTATAAGCAGTTTTTCTTGAAGTGTGGGCTTGTCGGCTTCTGTACTGTGGTCTCCCGCCTACCATGCATGTTTGGTACCGTTGAAGTTTTTGAGTCAAGCATAGCTTCTAGATCTTCCTTTTGAAGCCAATCATAAGTGTAGACTTTGGTTCTTGTGATAGTTTTGTGGTCTTTGGTATGTTTTGTTGGCTTTCTTAGTGGAATTGAGGCCTTGACGGTTTGGACTCTTTCGTAGATTTTGTCGAGTTAGCACATCTCCTTCTTGCTATGCTTGGGTTGTTTCTCTAGTTCTGAATCTGTCTTTAGGTACGCGGTGCAGAACTTAACCGGCTCTTGTGTGGGTAGCTACTTCTTCCATCGGATTTTGAGAGGAAGTTTCAGGTGGGTTTGCAGTGGTTTTGTGTTCTCAGCTTTCTACTCCTTTCTCCACGACTGTCTTTGTTGAAGGTTCTATTAGTTATAGCAAGTGATTATGCTCTGGTTTGGAAATTAGAGTTCTTGGAATTTGTGGAGTTTGGTGATATTGAGGCGGTGTTGCTTAGTGGGTTCTTATGTTTATCGGCTTGGGTCTCTCAGCTGTGCTATATTGTCAAGCCATATGCTTTTTGTGGCGTCTTATCTTCCTCCGGGGTTCGTCTTCGGTAAGGTGTGATGCTCGACCCTTGTGTTTACTGATGTTTGGATCAGTGTGATGCTTCGATATTGTGTTGTTATGCTGTTCCTTGGTTTTAGACCGACGGAGTTGTCCGGATTACTTGGTAAGGGACTGTGGAGCTTTAGCTCAGTTGCGTTTGGTCTTTGAATAGTTAGATTGCCAAACGTGTTCTTCATCAGCTACACAGATGGAGATTCGTCTTCTCGTGGCTTCCAAGAGTTGAAGCTTATTCTTGAGTGGTGTATGCTCAGGGTTGATGTAGCGGAAGCTTCTAGGGATAGAATTAGATCCGTTGATTATAAGAATATCCGAAAACTAGGATTTGTGAATACTCTTCACAGTGCTTAATCAAAAGCTCATAGAGTTGAGAATACTCACTCTTCTCAGGGGTTTATAGAAATCTCTTCAGAAAAACTCCTTTTTATTAATGAATCAAAATCTGAATACAAAGTTAAGCCTAGATGGCTATATATATGAAAGGCATAAAATCGTAAAACAATAAAGATAATTATCTAAATAATAAATAAAACACAAAATAATTAAGATATTTATTCTAAATATCTTCTTTACATCAAAGGTCATCTACTGGATCGTTCTTGGAGCTCTTCTATCATCCTTATAATTTGGACTTCAACTCTTTCATCATGGCTTCACTATCGACTCGCTTAGCTATATTTGATACTTGTTTTAGCTCTATAAGTTTTAGTGATCTTGTTCCTTCTCAGTCTATGAAATTTATAAATTATTTTAAAATCTAATACATTAGAAAATTTTTTGTGGAGGATTTATGAAAGACAGATACATCTAGATAAAGACTTAATTTTAGGCGAGAAATCTAAATTCTTTTAAAATTTTACGCGGAAAACTGTTGTTAAGTCATCTAGCAAATCTTCTAGTGCATTATATCTTCAAAAATTTTAGTCTTACAAAACCCCAATATCAAATAATTAAATCACATACACAAACTTTATTAAACTTAAAATAAAGTTATAAAGTGTTTAATATATACAAAACTAACACATATAGGTCAAATTCAGTTTTTTTAAAACAAGATTCCACAATCTAACCCTAAAAACACATACAATACTATAACATAGTTACCACACCCTGAACCAAAGAATATCATGACTAACTTACATTCACTCATATACATGTTGAAAACTATTCAATTTTAGTAAATATAAAGTTACATCATTTATAAATGTCTATAATTACATGATTAGGATTTTTTTACTAATCAAAATATTTTTTTTATCGAATTTATAAATTATTTTAAAATCTACATCATGAGAAGACTTTCAGGAGAATCGTCCCAGAGAAGGCTTACTTGAAAGTCTTCTCACTCGTAGGATTATAATAGTAAGCTACAATACAATTTTTTTTTGGTTATGAAGAGATGTTTGTAATTTCACTAGCCTTTTGAATTACTTTTGCATTTGATTGAAGTTGAGATTTATCTTTGTATTTTAAATCAAGTAATGAGTCATATTTGGCAAATCCCCATATATTAATCCTAAAGCATTACAATATGTTTTGGTGGTCAAGTATCATCACTACGTTGATTCTTAAAAAAATTAGAAAAAAATATATTGATATATCTCAACAAATATTATATTTTTATTAAACTAACTATTAAATTAGTTACTAATGTATAAAAGAATATTCATCATTCATTCCTTAAATAAAAGTCACAAAATTACCTAATATAGTTAACAAATATATGAAATTAACGATTTTGAACAATAAAGATTTGATAACAATTTTTCTATCCTCTATTATTTTTGTTTAATTTTATATTTGAAAATAAAAATAAAAAACCACATTAATCATATAATACATAATTAGATTTTTATATGGTATGTTTTGAACTTTTCAAAATGATTATAAATTACTAAGACCTTTAAAATTCATAATGAAGTTTTTGTGATTATTGATTTAACTTTTTTTGTTATAACAAGATACAAATGATCATAAAACCATATCAATACAATATTAAAAGGTGAATATAAGCCTTGGGGAGCTTATTCACGTAAGCAGAAATAATCATCAAATAGAAATGTAGATTCCTGCCATGTCACGAACACCTTATTTATCATTTGGGTTTATCAAATTTCGAGCTGTTTTATTTGATTTCCTCTGCCCTATTAGACCATATTTAATCCCAGATACTCTTAACGGGTCTCTTGATTAAATTTTAATACTATTTAAGGAAAAAAGTAGGTGAAGAGATTTAGAGAAGAACCTTGAAATATTTATGTCTCCATTGCAAGTCTCTGGTCTATGATATATGATTTGATCAAAGTTCATAATTCTCACATGAATTCTATTTGTAAGATTATGAATTTGTTGAAATTGTTTGCTCTAACAGTATTTTTAGTATTTATAGAGTCATCTGTTTTACGAATTTAACAATTTTTAAAGCCACATTAGCAAAACGACTATTATTTAGTTTTTCATGATTTTAAAAATAGAATGTAATGTTTTTGGTAACAAAAAAATGCCAATCAGCTGAGAGCTAATTTAGCCTTATCTGTTTCCGGCCCATTAAGTGCCCATATCAATTAAGCAAAGTGAAGCGGGGAAAGTTGTTGATTTAAGAACGTGAAGAAGAGGATGTTGGAAACACGAAACGTCGAGACCAAAAACAAAAGTCTCTTTCTCACTCTCTTGATAAACGTGCTCTGTGCAGAACCGTAAGCACGCGGCTCACCTAAGATCATTTACTTTACTTTAACTGACTCTTAACTCTTAACTCTCTCTCGCTTAGGTTTTAAACCCACACTTGCTCCTACAGCTAATTCTGCCATGGCTTCATTCCTCTTCAGCTGCTACTACTTCGTTCCACGTTCAACTTCTAAAAAGAGTAAGACTTTCTCGACTAATTTTCACTTATCATTTCCCTCTAGATTCTTCTAGCTGCAATGTGGGTTTCTTGATTTTTTTTTTTTTTTGATCTGTTGCTTCGTATACAGAGTTAAATGAAAATAATTTATATCAACATTTGTCTGTTCCATGAGATTAGAAAGAAGCTCTAAGCTTTTCAAATATTCATTTTGATTTTTTTTCTCTGTTTTTAGGTCCTATTACAATGGAGGTGCTGCTAAGAACTGGTCAGAAAATAATTATTCATCACTTGTTTCGGTGATTTGATATGCCTACGGTTAGGTAGGGAATGAAGCAAATGGTCCGTGCACATGTATAATTCCGATGTCTATCTTCTCTTCTTTGTGTGTTTTAAATGATTTGGATTCTTAAAATTTAAAATCATTGATTTGATTCTGATTATCACATTTTACTCCATTACAAAATCGTCACCTGCATCAATATTTATGTAACATTTTATCATGACCACCAACGGACACACGAATGAATGATCTTGAGCTACAGAGAATAAATTTCTTTAGTGTACATTGAGAGAAAATGGAGTTGAAATTGATAAAATTTGATCTTGGCGTGTCCTGTTTTAATTATCACGGAATGAATGCGCTTGTGCTGTCTCTACGTGGATCTTGATCTTGTGGGACCTCCTGTGTGTTGTTACCCTTACCTTGACCTAGCCAAGACATTGTGAGTCTTGATGTGAACACTTTCTTCTTTCTTGGTTCTTGGTTTGAGGCTTTCTTCTTCTTCTTCTGGTCACTGACAGCGTGCGAGTAGCTCCTTAGTTCGTTAAGCCGCTTCATCTTCTCTTTCTTCTGCTTCTTCTTATGGAAAGAGAGGAAGAACAAAGCCACCACTTTGGTCACTCTGTTCCCTGACTTGGTTGAAGACGATGCTTTCTTGAGTTTCAAATGGCGGGTTTGGCGTCTAGGACAGCTCTTGGTGATTCTGATCAGGAGTTTCCTACATGGACGGAGAATCTTGTGGTTCAAAGTTACCAACGACGCAGACCCTCTCATGTTTTTGGTTGTTTTGTTATGTCTCTAACAAAAAGCAAAGAGAATATAACGTTACAAAAAGAAAGACAGAGACAAGGTCTGGGGATAATGTATGTTATGTGATCGTTGGATTTTCTTTTTGTAAACATGGCCCTTTGTATATCCCAGGTGGGTTTCACGTTTAGTTGTGTTAAAGAGTCTTACTTAGTTTGTGGCACACCATGATTCTGAAATTAACAAGAGACTTGGTCTTCTCACAACAGACAAAAGTCTTCTCTTTTCTGCCTATTGCTTAGTTCAAGAAGGCAAGTCTCAAAAGTCAAAACTCACCAACTTCATGTTACCGTATCTTGTTGCCTTGAAACATGAAGCTAGGTTTAGATATTAGCATAGATTCTGCAGTAACACCAAGAAGTAAAAATCATCCTCTTTAGACAGTATGATCTTATATTTATCTAAAAGGACGGTGGAGATCGTGCCACGTTGCTTAAAGCATCTAAAAGTGGGCAAGTTGAGGCTGACATTATACAAAAACATCCCATCAACCTGAAGAGAATAGATATGTCAAATCTGTGTGCATATTATTAGGCTTGATTCAGTCCTACTCGGCCGATACTATAAACCAAATAGGTCAGAGGTCGAAGAGTTTAGATCAGAAAAGCAGAGTTTCTTGGGTATCTTAGGCCGGACTAGTCTACGCTCTAAAGTCTATATACCCATTTTATTTATTTTTATAAATCGTTTTCACTAATACTCCATCATTTAAGTCTTCGAGCATCCTAACCATTAACTAGCCCTTTCTCTCATCGAAGAAAAGAGTTTTACTTCTTGTAACCTAATTAACCCATTATCACATCCAGTGATAAGTCTGTCCTCATCAATCCACAAGACTTCCCATTAGTCAATAGCCTAGTCTTACTGATCTTATTTTAACCATAGGCTAATAAAAATGTAACATCAACTAAATCTGGAGACAGATCAACAAACCGATCGTTGTAGATAGCGAAAATGGTTTCAGATAGCCCAAGTCTCAATACCCAATTAGTCCAGCACCAGTTGTGATCTCTAAGGATCAAAGTTCCACAACCACTTAAAGATATTCTTTTGTTATTAAGTTTTATTTTTTTTTTCTTTTGATTTTCTTTTTCTTTTCCTTTAAATTTTCTTATTCACGTTTTGAATACCTTTAGAAATATAAGACTCATATGTGAGCCTATATATAGAGAAGCTTTCTATTATTTTTTTAACTACAATACAATTAATAAAGATTTAAGCTTTCTAAAAGAGTTGTAGGCAAACACTGCGAAGAGTATTCGCAACCTTAAAGAGTTCTAACGAACACTGCGAAGAGTATTCACGCCTTTACTATTGTTACTTTGCCTACAAGTTAGGTTTATAGCTTCCGCTCTCTATCAGTTGGTATCAGAATCAGAACGTTTCGGGAAAGAATTTCTCGTTTTCAATGGCAAAGAAAGCAGGAGTTACTGGCGGTGATAATCGGGATAACACTCCAGAGGAAGTCGCAACGGATCAGATTGAATTACAAACCCTAATTGAGATGCAAACAACAACTCAAGCTTCCATTCAACAACTCGGCGAAACAGTGGGAACTCTCGCGATTCGCATCGAAGCCTTGACAATCGCATTAACAGCTTGTGTGGATCATTTACTCCAACCGGCTGCTCATGCACCACCACCACAACTCGATCTCCCTGCCCCACCCACTCGCCAACAACGTACGCTCCCACAGCCACGACACCAGCAAAATCTTCCTCCGCTACAACAACATAAACGGCAACTCCCGGCACTGCAGCAACAACAACAACATCATCACCGACGATACATTCATAGAGACAATGACGTCACACAACCAACTCATTCCGATGACGAGGACGAGCTACATCGCCAACTCTACTTTCAGGACTTACAACGTCATGATAACTATAATTCTCGTCGGGAAAATAGCTTTAAAGTCGATATACCAGAATTCCATGGTGGCCTTCGAGGCGATGATCTCATCAATTGGTTACTATCAGTCGAAGAAATCCTTGAGTTTAAGCAAGTTCCTCCAGCACGACGTGTCTCCCTAGCCGCTATGCGTTTCCGAGGACATGCCGCAACATGGTGGAAACAACTTAAACTACTCGCTCACGAACCGACAAAGCTCCGATTCGATCATGGGAGAAACTCACTAAGCACCTCCGGCAGACCTTCTTACCACACAATTATGAGCGTACTATGTATAACAAATTGCAAAACCTTCGGCAAGGTAATCACAGTGTTGATGACTACGCAGAAGAATTTGCTTTGTTACTCACTCGTAACGAGATAAGCGACAGTCAAGTTCAGCTAGTATCTCGTTTCATTGGAGGTTTACGACCCCAACTACAAAACGCGATGGCGCAGTTTGACCCGTCGACGATCGGTGAAGCTCCTCGGCGAGCAGCTTCTTTTGAGCAACAGTCTCGATCATCTAGTTGGTCCCAGTCATCAAATCGAGCTCACACTCAGGAACAAACGGGAACCAGTACTTCAGAAACGAAAGAGCCAAGCGATGCTACACCCTCGGTTCAAAAAACATCAGCCCCAGACGAACAACAAGTACATCGCTCAACTCAACAAAACGCCATCCGTTGCTTCTCTTGCGGAGAACAGGGTCACCGACAAACGGCTTGCCCTCACGCAATTCGTCGGGGACTACTTGTTGACGATACACTCGACAGTCAAGATGTCTATGATTCTCAAGACGAAGACAACAATGACGATGAAAACGTCCATCCCACAACTGGTGATCAGGGACACCTACTTGTTCTTCACCGCACTTACCTCACACCACGTAAACACGATGATAAGTGGCTTCGTACGAATATTTTTCGTTCTACTTGCACCATCAAAGATCGTGTGTGCAGCTTTGTGATTGATTCGAGGAATAGCAGGAATGTTATTTCTGAATACGCCATTGATAAGCTTGGCATAGCACGCGAAACACATCCATCACCATACTCTCTCGGATGTCTTCACGAGGGGACAAAAGTACGGATTACTCAGCGGGACCTGGTCTCCTTTTCAATAGGTCCTTATTACAAGGATTACATCTACTGTGATATTGCGGCTATGGACATCAATCACCTACTTTTGGGACGTCCTTGGGAGTATAATCGGAAAGTCATTCATTACGGCGCCGATAATACTTATCAATTCACTTGAGATACACATAAGATACTTCTCCTACCAACAAAGGAACAAATGCTACCAATTCCGCCAGCCCTAGTGGTCACTTCGCCTATCACTTCCTCCAAACAAGTTTCATTAATTTGCTCGTATGAGACCTTTCGCTCGGAGTTACAAACAGAGGGTCAAGTTTTTGCATTACTCCAGACGCCAACAACTCATCTCCCAACACCAACACTCCACAAAGACATCGCCACTGTTTTGGAAGAATTCCGCGATGTCTTTCCTAAAGAACTTCCGACCAGATTACCACCATTACGTGATATTCAACATCAGATTGATCTAGTACCAAGAGCAAATCTTCCTAACCGACCTCATTATAGAATGAGTCCTGATGAACATGAAGAACTCCGCCGGAAAGTCGAAGATCTCCTCCGTAAAGGACACATACGCAAGAGTCTTTCTCCTTCCGCAGTCCCAGCACTTCTTATTCCGAAAAAGACGGGACATGGCGTATGTGTGTTGACAGCCGGGCCATTAATAAAATTACAGTTCGTTATCGCTTTCCCATTCCACGACTAGACGACTGATCAGATTGGTACGGCGTCCATATTTTAAAAAATTGATCTCAAGAGTGGATATCATCAGATTCGGATCAAGCTTGGCGATGAATGGAAAACAGCTTTTAAGATGCGAGAAGGATTGTTCGAGTGGCTTGTTATGCCTCTCGGTCTCTCCAATGCCCCTAGTACATTCATGCGTATCATGAACCAGTCCCTACGCCCATTCATTGGCAAATTTGTTGTCGTTTACTTTGACGACATACTTATTTTCAGTTCATCAATGGTGGAACATGTCACACATATTCGCGAGGTCTTGCAAGTGCTTCGAAAAGAAAAGCTTTTTGGCGCACACCAAAAATGTGAATTCGGCGTCTCAGAGATTTTTTTTTAGGATTTGTTGTCTCTTCTTCTAGTTTACCGAATTAACCCAAATGCATATCGAGTTCAGCTACCTCCTCATCTACGCAAACCTCTGATATATTCAATGTCAAGCATCTCTTTCCGTACCATGGTAGCAACGACGATCCGGATTCGTGGACGAATCCTTCTCACCCGGAGGGACCTGATGCAACACCAGTTGTGATCTCTAACGATCACAGCTCCACAACCACTTAAAGATATTTACTTTTTATTATTAAGTTATATTTCCTTTTCTTTTAATTTCCTTTTCCTCTAAGCTTTCTTATTCACGTTTTGAATACGTTTATGAATATAGGACTCATATGTGAGCCCTATATAGAGAGAAGTTTTCTATTGTTTTTTTAACTATAATACAATTAATAAAGATTTCAGATTTCTAAAAGAGTTCTAGACGAACACTGCAAAGAGTATTCGCAACCCTAAAGAGTTCTAACGAACACTGCGAAGAGTATTCGCGCCTTTACTATCGTTACTTCGCCTACAAGTTAGGTTTATAGCTTCTGCTCTCTATCAAATGCCTTCAACCATTAACATAGTTAGTGTTAGAGATATATACATGGCTTACCTGCAATCTTTTAAAAATCCTCATGAATACAACATGAGAATACCGTTTTGAGTTCCACAGATAACTTTACAGCCAATTTGAAATCAATCAGATAAAGAGCAAACAATTATACAGATTGGAGTAAGGGGCAACAATGTGGAAGACATAAGAGTTCAAGATGACTCATTCTGGTTGCAGAATCTTTACCTTCATTATAACAACAATAAGAAGTTCGTCTTCAGAAATCTTGACTTTGCTTGTTCTGAGATTACAGACAGATAGAGTTCCATCTCCACTAAATAGTGTCAAAGAAACCAAATTAGGATTGATAAGTAGAAAAAGTCTTCTATGAATATTCAAAAAAAAAAAAAAACTAGGTTCATTGCATTAGATGAATACAAAAAATTCAAACATTGTTGCGGACTTGCCACTAGTTTCATTGTATCAGGTGCAAAGGTCATATGCCTGAAATGTAATCCTCGTGTACATTAAACTCGTGACTGAGTTACTCGTGGGCATTCTCGGTAGCTAGCCTAGAATAGAGCAATCAGCTTCAGCTCTGACGATTTCTATAGCCCCATAGAAAAGCATATAAAGTAGAGCAGAACTACACGAACTTCAGATATGAGCTCATGTTTAAAGCTAAAGCAACAAACTTTGGCCCATCATCAAATGAACCGAAAAGCTATGCGAGACTCCTTACTTATGGCAACGAACTTTAAGCTCCACAACACCAAACTCCGCGGTCCTTTAGACGACCCACAACAAAAAGAGACAAATTTTGGAGATTGAAAGAGAATTTTGAAAGGTTGTTGATCGTGCTAAGCGCAAGGAAGATAACAATGAGATAGCAAAACTATTCAACTGGAGACAAAAGAAGCCCGTCTGGGAGAAAGACAAGACCGAGATCGCCTTGCAAGTGGAACAAGTCATGGCCACTCTTGAACTCGCTGTAGAAGACGACGTGGATCTCAACAAACAAGGCAAACCTGCGACCAATAAGCTTATCAAGTTACCTATCCTCGTCGCCGCTCTATCCAAGAAAAATCTTCAAGCCGAGTTCTTGGACCATGGAGTGCTTAACCATCTCAAGAACTGGCTCGAGCCACTTCCTGATGGCAGCTTGCCTAATATCAACATCCGGACATCTATCTTGCGTGTTCTTGAAGATTTAAGTATCGTGTTAGGCAAGGAACAAGAGTTTAGAAGAGAACAGTTCATCAAGAGCGGTTTAGCCAAGGTTGTCCTCTTCTTATGGAAGTCTGATGAAGAGACTAGGGTTAACAGAAGATTAGCTAATGACTTGGTTAATAGATGGGGACATATGGTTTATGATAAGAGCACGAGATATGAGAACATGTTGAGTCAGGAGGAACGTGAGGAGCAAGATAGGATGCTTTTAAGAAGACAGAACATGCAGAGGGCTAAAGAAACAAGAGTTAGGCACTTTGATGTTGATATTGACTTCTCTGAGGATGCAAAACCCAAGGTGTTGTTGCCTGGTGGAGGAGGAGTGGGAAGAACGATAGTACCAACGGCAATGTTGATGGACTTTGTGCTGCGTCCTGGACCGAAACATGACAAGAAACTTGAAGCTCGTGCTAAGATGCAAGTTGATAAAGGAAGGTATGATAGTCTAATGAAGAAGCGAAGGGAGATCATGAAGACGAGCCAGCAAGCTTTGAAGATTTCTGTAGGGTCGCACATAGCCAAAGTATACTAGTTTAACAGAGATGTTTTGGACACCACATTTGTGTCTAGCGATTAAGTATAGATTATGCTCATTATGTAGAGCTATAAAGTGTCATTAGAGAATTTATAATATTAATGACTTTCATCTTTTGTTTCCGATTTATCAAAAAAAGAGCCGAACAGTTTGAGTTAAAGACTTTGCTTTATAAAGAACAGTATACATTTTGCACTAAACTAGAAGTTAGTACAGCTTTTTCTTTTCAGCCGAAGAAATCATCTACACTCTGTCATAATGATCATTACCCTATCTTCAAAACTTGAGACTCCACTCTTTCTCCAAATGAGGTCCCTCTTAAGCCCCAAGTTTGAATGAAGATAGAGCTAATAGATAAAACTTGATGCTTCTTTAAACCAAGAAAAGTAACATGGTCGTTTAAGACAAAAAATGATGCTTATTCATACATGATTAAGACTTGAAGCAAAAGAGGGTCCGTTTACTTTTAACACTAGTCCTGTTTACTTGAGACTCTCCAAGTCTTGACCCTCCGTTGACTTCTCTCCTTTAACTCTTCAACCTAACCAGGGTTTCGTTTTTTGGGACACTATTGTAATATGATCTCTTTAGTTTTTATAATGTTTTGAGGAGGTTCACAGTAAACATATGTTAGGTAAGATAAGAACAACTTTAAGAAACATAACTGCGAAGATATAAACAGGGGTACAGTAACAGAAAGCTTATTATGAGAGAAGCAATCAGTGTCGCAAAACCTGTTTTTTTTTTTTAAATTCAGTTTATGCCTTGAATTACGAAATGTCCAACTATTTTTTCATAAGTTTGGACATCAGATACCAAAGGCATTAAAACAACAACCAAACATTCGAGTTTTGGTCAATTTTTACTAAAATAAGTTTGGTAAGAAAAAGTCAGATGGTAGTGCATGTCATATATTCAACACTATTGTTCAGACTTTATAGACGTTGGATAATTCTCCTCATTCCTCTCCTCTTGATGTGTGTGTGTTTATAAGATGATCATGAGATTAAGAAACTTTTTTTTTTTTTTTTTTTTTTTTTTAAAAAATCGATGGAGCTGTTAATTGAAATCAGATACTGAAGTCAATCACCATATTGCATTCATCGTAATGAACGCAAATAAGACTGGGGCGACAATTACATATCATCACTTTCCTTGTCCATCAAGAAACACAAAAACGTAGCAAAAGGACACAGAGATTCTAATCGAGAAGATCACACAAACATAAACATCCTGAATCTGGGGCTTCACACTGAAGCTAGGGTTTTGAAGTAAATTGTATAAATGACACAAGAAGTGATTTGGGTTTCGAAAAACAGGTCTCGCCGTTATATAAACAGTTCACACAAAAGTACTGGAGTCTAGGGCTTTCGTTTTTCTATGGGCCTTTGTCGGACTGTTTGTTTGGTGCTGATGAAGCCCATGTTTTTTGTTATTCCAAACTTCACATCCTTGTATTTTGGGATTTTTCTTTTTTTTGTCATGATCTGTTATCCCATATATATTAATGAAGAAACATTTGAAAAGATGTAATATTAAATTTTTATTAACTAAAAAATAACTTTATTCTATTCAATTTTGAAGAATTTTAGAGCACTTTATATAAACTATACTCTAAAAATTACACTCTATAACAATATAATATTCCACAGACCATAGTTGGTGGCATATATCAAATATTTATTGTTTTTCAAGCTTTCTTTAAAGAAAACATATAGAATTACCTAATGTGATTAAATATATATATATATATATATATATATATATATGGTAACTAATCATTTTAAACAATAAAGATTTGATAATAATATGTATACTTTTTATCATTTTGTTTATTTCTGTATTATAAAAATAACTTACAAAATTAGATTAATCATTAATAAAAATCTAGATTTTTTTTTTGTGTATGTTTTATTTCGAATTTTTCAAAACGAGTATAAATTACTAAAACTGTTAAATTTTTATAATCTTTTATAATCTTTCAAAACGAGTATAAATTCTCACATAAGTTTTTATGATCAAGGTTTAAATTTTTTTTCTATATTAAGATACAATTATTATAAGAGCATACGAAGAAATAATTTTATTTTAATAGGTTTTATGTTAATATATATACATATATATATATATATATTGTTTTTTTTCATATCCTTTAAATTAAACTATACATCGTATGAAAATACATACTAATATTTTGATAATTGCATTGAACATATATTGAAAATTTAATATTTAATTTTAAAATCTGTCAATTTTTTAAATGCTGATAAATTATTAAAATTACTAAACATCTCACATTTAAAAAAAAAAAATTCTGGTGTACAATTTTGTTATACAAATATGCAAATAATCATAAAATCATATGAGTAGAAACCTCATTTAATAAATATACATATTAAAAGTGTGTTATATATCTATGTTAATATCATTTGAATTTAATTATATATCATATACGATGGAAAAGATTGATTGTTTTGATTTACTTACCCTAATTGAGAATAAACAAGAGTGATCGCTAGATTTATATGCAGATGCCAATTTATTACATAATAGTAACTGATTTCTTAATTATTTAATATATATATATATATATATTTATTATTTTATTATTTCATAATATGCAGAAAAATATAAAATATTAATAAATATAAACTACTTATTCTGCAAAAAGTGGAGATCTTAACCTGAGTATGTATCTCTTTAATTATTTTAAATCTTAAGCATTATCTAAATCTTAGGCCAAAACAAGTAAACGAAAAACTTCAAAATCAATATTTATATCGAGTAATAACCAAAATGAAAAAGACACAAGAAGAGAAAAATATTGAAGATAGATAGGATTAGCACATGAACATAAACTTCTCATAATCATACTTAACTTTTAAATTGTTAAATCATGATATAAAACCGAACTGACATAGTTTCATTGTAACCAAATAGACCTGAGATTTTTTTACCTAAATATTAGGTTCTTTGCAGTAAGTGATATTTTGACCTAAAACATTTTAAAAATGAGATCAACTCATCAGTAAACAAATTATGTAATTAACAAAAAATTAAAGAAAAAATTGTTTAAAGACCAAAATATTAATTCAGTCAAGAATATGGATTTATTTTTCCATATATTATTTTAAATAAATTTTATATAAATTTACCCTACGTAAGGTACATGTCTTATCCTAATATCAATTAAGCTTGGATATTTGTGACTGAAGCTGAGATCCAAATTACTAACCAAAACTGTAAAAATACTCCATCATTATGATAGATTTCATGAATTATCTGAATCCAAATGAATCATTTTCTTGTTATTTTGATTTTGACCATATGAATGAAAAATATTATTGGCCAAATTCGAAATTTGTTTGAAGTTAAAATGAATCATATTTATGCCTCAAGTTGCATACATTACTGCAATTTCATATTTAACACCTGTCGTATGTGTGTGTACTCTATTACAATAGATTCTATGACCGCATAAAGATGATATGTAATTTCTTGAGTACATCATACAAGAAAATGTGATACAGAACTTGTAGCAATGAGACATGATTAACAGAATTTAACTATGCTTTTGACATTTTTACAAAAAAAAAGCTATGTTTTTGATTTGTTGAAAGAGTTATAAGAATGTCTAAGACCATCTCTAGTGACTACCTATTTTTTTCTTTATAAAACATATGATGACAGAACACAACAGTAATAAAAGAGTGGATAGCTCCAATAATGATTGTCGAATCGGGTAAAACGAAACAAATTAAATAATTGAAAAAACATATAAGAGAAGAAAGAGAGAGAGAGGTATAAACTTGTTCTCCCTGCTTAAACCTCCTCTCCTCTTCCACTTCCTTCCTCTTCATTTTGCGACGTTGTTTATCTACAGATCTGATTCCCAGAGACTCTCTCTCTCTCTCTCTCTCTCTCTCTCTCTCTCTCTCTCTCTCTCTCAGAGAGAGAGAGAGAGAGAGAGAGAGAGAGAGAGAGAGAGAGAGAGAGAGAGAGAGAGAGAGAGAGAGAGAGAGAGAGAGAGAGAGAGAGAGAGGTTACGGGGGGAGAAGATGAGCGGCAAGAAAAGCTACAACGGAACATCTGATACCCCGTCATGGTCGAGGAAGATGGTACAGAGTTTGAAAGAGATTGTGACCTGCCCCGACGCAGAGATCTATGCAGTGCTCAAGGACTGTAACATGGATCCTAATGAAGCCGTTAATCGCCTCCTCTCCCAAGGTTCCTCCTTTCTTCTTCCTTACCTCTTCTCCCATTTTAAGAAGTGAATGTGTAGCTTCGGAGACGATTAGGCTTTACACATATTCTATGGAGATGTTTTCACTGAGTGTTGTATTGCTTAGGGTTTCAGATTAGGTATTCAAAGGTTTTTACTTTTCAGCATTTTAACCTTCTCGTTGAGCTCATATACCATTTTTTCCTTCAATGGACTTTGTGTAGCCTTTGGAGTTCTGTCCTTACTTTAGAGATAGCTACAATCTCTTCACGATACTGATTCTTGTTCTTTCACTGTTCAGATCCTTTTCACGAAGTTAAGAGCAAAAAAGAAAAGAAGAAAGAGGTAAAGATTTTATGTTTTTTTTTGTGCTTTTGAAGTCCTGTTCTGACAATTTTAATCAGAAACTTAGTGTCCCTATATGCACCTCTGTTTTCAAGTGTTATGCTATGCTCAAACCATGGATTAATGCCATCTCCTTAACACCAACTGTGTTCAGATTGCTTACATTAGTCGCTCATTTTATTTGTATCTGAATGGTTAATTTTAATTCCTTCAAACCCTTACTGTTCTCACATTATACTTGATCCTAAATGTTGTTTCGGTTTCAGTTAGTTTTTGTTTCATTTCATTGTAATGTTGGAAAATTTATATAGCTGCTTGCTGTTCAGAATAGGGATATACCGGATTCCCGGCCATGAGGCTATAGTAACAGTTACAACCGTGGGACTAGAGGTGGTTCTGATCGTTATGCTGGAGGACCTGGAAGAAGTGGAACTACATCTTTCAGCTCTAGTGGTATATACATTGCTTTTTTTTTTTTGCTTTAGGATACAGTATCGAAAAAGTTTCATAATTCTGGCTATGAATCCCTGATTCTCTGTTCCCATGTTTTTATTGTTCAGAGGCTGGGAGGTTCCCATGAAAAACTACAAACAAGAGAGAGAGCGAGAAGCAGACTTATGCAGCTTCTTTTTCTTCTACATCTGGAGAATCGAGCCACCATCAGATGCCACACAGGTTTTCCCACTTCATCTCTCTTCTATGAATACTGAAAAGCTCCACAAATGAAAACAAGACCTTCCCCAGGTGGAGGGAACCATCACATGTTGCAAATAAAGAACATATGATACTTTCAAAATCCATATGCTATTAAACCAAACCATACGAATGTCCCACAAGTTACAAAATGACATTTAAAATTAAACAATGTAGTCCATGTGTTGATCTTTGGTGGTCCTAATGTGTTTTTATACTATCATGTGTTCTCTTCCTTTAAACAATGACTCTATGTATGATTAGTGTCTACTTTGCTTTTATTCTTTTTTGGGAATTACTTTTGTCTGCTGGTCAAATGAATTTTGATACTATTGTGTGCATCTGCATCTCCGAGAATTACAGTTTTTGTTCCTCTCTACATCTGAGTCGCAGGTTGCTGATGTATGTTGTACGTATTTTGCAGTGATTACATTGCTGTGGACAGTAAAACGCCAACTGTTAGCACGGGTGGTGGGATATCATCATCACAGCCTGTTTCTTGGTTTGGAGCTGCCGGTCAGATGTCTATGGCTGACATTGTGAAGATGGGTAGACCTCATAACAAGATAACGAACTCACAAAAAAATCATGAGCATGACATTGCTGCAAATCAACATGTACCTGTAAAAGATCAGTGGCCCTCGATTGAAAAGCTGACGGCTGCTAGCACTGCTTCTGTATCAGTGGAACCAACTGAGCCAGAGATATGCAATGGTCCAGCAGATTACCAGTCCAGTAGAGGAGGAGATCGACAACTGAAGGATCAATTGGAAGTTACACAGAGAGCAGACAATGGCCCCTTTGGAAATCTTGGAAGAGATCAGGTCCAGGCTGACACTGTCGCTGGTGGAGTTGTTCCAGAAGATGAATCTGGAGTGTCATCTGAGTTTGATGATAATCCTTACAGACACGAAATGCAGAACCATCCTGTTGAGCACCAGAGAGGTAAGAATTTTACATTGTGTAAGTGTTTCCAACAGCATGTCTAGAAAAGACCTTGGTTTCGATACTATTTAGATCATAATGACGTATGATTTGCCAGATGCTTGTTTGAATTTTATTTTGATGAAATGTCACACCTCATCAATAAACCATGTGTCTCTGTAACTGGATCAAATTAGTTACTAGAGAAATGAAAAAAAAAAACTTGTCTAGTTTTTTGTTGGTTTCAAATTTGAAATTCAGGTAGGGTAGACTAATTAAGCTTCTCCTGTATTTGCTTTATGCTAAACCTTTTCAGATTCTGTGTTGTTCTCTTGCTTCTGATGCGTGAAAAAGAATTTTGGAATTCTGCAGCATGTTTGACTTAATCTTTTTTTTGCTCTTGATGTTGACTAACTCTGAGGGTCAATATTATGTTGCAGATGAAGATAATGTTTCGTCTGTTGCTGTCAACCTTCAAGAATTAAGCGTAGAGAACCATGATAAATACTCATCCCATGATGAGGATAGACTTGCTGTCGTAATTCCAGATCATCTGCTAGTCTATACAGAAGAGTGCTCACAGTTAAGCTTTGGAAGCTTTGGAGCAAGACATTTGAACAACAACTTAGAAGAGGCATCTAATGTAGCTCCACAGATTGAAGATTCTGATGCTAGGCATGCCCTCATTACTGATTTTCCTTTGCTAAATAGTTTCTGACCTCTTTCCTTTTGTATTAACCATTAATTTTGATCGTCTTGTGCACATAAATACCGAGTTCTATGGAGATGAACATCGAGGAAGCATGTCCAATGGAAATACGGTCCATGCGTCTACTGCAGAAAATTATAATGATTCTTCAGAATCTCAGCGAGAGGATTTGTTGCCAGAAAATCCTGATATCTCTCATCAGGAGAACCAGTACTCCGTTGCTCAATCTGATCAAGAGTATGCATATGAAAACGCCAAGCAGCAGATGAATTCTGCATTTGATGTCTCACAGACAAACATGCTGAATCAAATGCAGAATCTTGCTTCATTAACAAATGTGATGGTAAGCTACATATTTTACAACCAAATGCCCATGGTTTCGCAGTGGTTGTGTGTTATAGCTTTTATTAGAACGTCCATTCATATTTGAAAGGTGGTATTAATTTGGATTGCTGTTCAAATCATTGGTAAGTTAGTTTTGTATGATGCTAATGATATTCTAATAATTCTTGGTTAACATCATTGGTTTCGGCAAGGGTATACAAACTCTGTTCCGAACACTCTATTGAGACAGAATGAACAAAGTCTGAGGGAGCTTGAGCTTCAGTACTCAACACTCCGAGGGGTACAATCTATGCCATCAAGAAGCAACGATTCCTCACTAGGTGGCCAAAACATTTCTGTGCCAGAGGTGATCCTCTTACATGTAGACTGAAACACTTCTTTTAATCAAATAGCGTATCTTTGTCTTTCATGATTAAATGTAGTAGTATAAGAATAAGGAATGATTAGTCCATCAAACTGCTTAGAAATTGTTCGATTTACAGTGTTTTGGTTATATTTTCTTACACGTAGGCTCTCAGAGATGGTGGTGGTAGTCAAACAACGGAGCCAAGCCAACATAACTTACCCGGTGCCAATATTGCTACTGGACCAGCTCTTACTCGACAGCTACCAATGCATCCATACTCTCAGCATACTGTGCCTCTAACTCACTTTGCAAACATGATGAGTTATCCTTTGATGCCTCAGAGCTACCCATACATGCCATCAACATTCCACCAAGCATTTGCTGGTAATAATAGCCCATACCACCCCTCCCTGGCCGCTTTGCTTCCACAGCACAAAAACAACATTTCAGCCAGTCATTTGCCTCAGTCAGCAACTTCTGCCCATATCTCCTCCGCTTATGGGTTTGGGAATTCAAGCAATGTGGGAGCCGGAAACTTCCCTCTTAACCACCAACAACAAAAACAGCAGCAGGCAGTTCCTACTGGGGCAACACTTAGTTATGAAGACATCATGAATCTACAGTACAAACAGAACAACCATCTATTGTCACTTCAACAACAACAACAACAACAGGTATGTTTCTCATTTTGACATTTGCATGTAAAGATCATTGTTTGACCTAGTTTCTTTTTTAATTCTCAGAATGATAACTCGCCTCAATGGGTTCATGGACCTGCTTCTCAAACAATGTTTGGTGTCCAGAACAGTGCGTACTACAACCTTCAAGCACAACAGCAAGCTCAGCAACCTCGACAAGCTCAGCAACAGGCGCAACAGCAATATGGATCACTCGGTTACCCAAACTACTATCAGTCACAGACCGGAATGTCAGTGGAGCACCAACAGCAAAACCCCAAGGGAGGGTGGGTCGCAAGGCCAGCCGTCAAAGCAAACTCAGCAGCAACACCTCTGGCAAAACTCTTACTAGCCGGTTTCGGTCCGCTCTGTGTACTTGTCACGTAGCCCTGGATATAAAGCTGATAGCCAGTTATATAGGTTATCAGTTTATTTGAGTTGTTGGGTAGGGAGGCTTAAGAGAAAAAAGGATGGATCCTCACCCTGTCACTGTGGGTGTATTTGTCATCTTCTGTTAACTTTGGGAACATGCAAACTCAAATTTTGATCAATGCAACTAAAGAACCAAAGAAAAAAAAGCAAAGGCTCATGTCTGTTATTCTTATAGGCTTATAGCTTTGTCTCTGTAAAGTATATTCGGTTTTGTTCAACAGTTTTCATCTTTTATGCTTTTGAATTCTCACTAGCTTTTCTTACATGGGGTCAAAGTATGCTTGAGAAACTCATTGTCAAGCTGTTATGGTTTAGATATTAGAACTCCTTTGGATACAAGACAAAAGGTAAAGAACGCTTTAAGTTAATGAATCACGGTTACAAGTCCCACTCTCAAGAGATTCTTCTCTCTCTTGATCCAACAATGATCATCAACATGTTAACTTCCTTATTCCCCTCTACCTTAACTTATACTACTTTGGATCAGCACACACGCATCACCATATTACTCGAGACACACCATGTGCTCTTGTCTAATACTACTTGGTGATGCACAAATGCATACCTCCTTACAACGTGTGACTCCAACACTCCATGTGCCTTTGTCTACACTTTTATTCGCTACTATCCTTAAGCTTGCTCCTCACGTAATAATCTTCTCTTGGGCTTCCTTGCTCTTTTGGGTCTTTCTCCTGGAGTACTGATGGATAATCGGCGGGTGACAAGCCTCATACGTATCAATACTCCGTTCAACGAAACTGACCTTGTCCTCAAGGTCTAAGGTAGGAAACTTCTTACTCATCGTTGCTTTCCATTCCCATGTGAAGTCGTGTGCAGGCAACCCTTTCCACTTTACCAGAACCTCCTCTTGTTTGGTAATTGGATTCACTCTCGTACCCCACACTGCTTCTGGTTCTGACATAAGGAACCCCTCTGCTGTCAGCTGTGGAAGAATGGACAAGTTCTCAGCGATGTCACCCACTGCTTTCTTCAGCTGAGAGACATGGAACGTATTGTGAATCTTTGTCTCTGCTGGAAGTTTAAGCCTATAGGCAACATGACCAACTCTGGCCTCAATCTCGAAGGACTATAATACCTCGCAGCTAATTTCTCATTCATCCTCCGAGCAAGAGACTTCTGTCTATAAGGTTTGATCTTCAAGTAAACCAAATCTCCCACTTCAAACTCCACTTCCCTACGCTTTTCATCAACCTTTCCCTTCATTATCTGCTGAGCCTTGTGGAGATGTTCCCGTAACAGTGCTAAAGCTGCATCTCTCTCTAGTAACTGCTCCTCCAACTCAGCATTATTAGTTGACCCATTTTCATACCTAAGTAACGTTGGGGGATCACGTCCATACAAGGCTTTGAAAGGAGTCATAGCGATGGCCGTGTGAAAGGAGGAGTTGTAGCTCAGCTCTGCCCACGCCAAGTACTTCGCCCAGGTCTTAGGCTTATCACTAGCGTAACACCTCAGATAAGTCTCCATCCCTCTGTTTGTTACCTCAGTTTGGCCGTCCGATTGGGGATGATAAGCGGTGCTAAGGCACAATTTGGTTCCCGAGAGACGGAATAGCTCCTTCCAGAACAGACTGATGAACACCTTGTCCCGATCTGAGACGATGGTCCTGGGAAACCCATGAAGCTTAACCAATTCTTGAACAAAGACCACTGCTATATCCGTTGCTGTGAAGGGATGTGTAAACTTTATGAAGTGAATGTACTTCGTCAAACGGTCAAACACCACTAGCACTGAATTGCACCCCTCAGACTTAGGCAAACCCTCCACAAAGTCCATCGCAATGTCCTCCCACAATTGCGTTGGAATGGGTAGTGGTTGTAGGAGACCTCCTGGTGCTAAGGTAGAGTATTTATGCCTCTGACACACTTGACAAGAAGCCACGTATCACCTTATATCAGTAAGCATACCTTCCCAATAGAACAAATCTGCTATCCTCCGTTGAGTTTTGTTGACACCCCCATGTCGTCCCATCTTTCCGTCATGATACTCTGCCATTATTAACCCCACCAGAGAAGACCCTTTAGGAACCACTAACTTCCCCTGCCTCAACAATCTTCCTTGAACTACTGAGTAATGCGGGTGTCTCCTCGGGTCTGCCTTTAATTCTGTGATCATTTTCTGCAACCTCTCATCTTTATCAACCGCTCCACTAATCTCCTCCAGTTGTATAGCTGTAGGAACAGAAACCGCAAACACCTCAGCTATCATCGCTTTCCTTGAGAGAGCATCTGCAGCCCTGTTCTCCAACCCAACTTGTACTGAATGTCGAAATCAAATCCCAGTAACTTGGTGAGCCACCTTTGATACTCCACATTGATCTCGCGTTGTTCCAAGAGAAACTTGAGACTTTTTTGATCAGTCCTGACTATGAACCTCCTCCCTAAGAGATAGTGTCTCCATTTCTGCAATGAAAACACGATGGCCATAAGCTCCCTTTCATAGACTGACTTCAACCTCTGTCTTTCTGTGAGTGCTTGGCTGAAGTAGGCTATAGGCCTCTACTTCTGCATCAAGACTGCCCCGAGACCGAACCCTGAAGCATCCGACTCGACCACAAACACCTCTTGGAAGTCAGGAAGGGCCAAGACTGGTACCGTGATCATGGCTTCTTGCAACATCCGAAAAGACTGTGTTGCCTTCTCGTCCCATTGGAATTTTTCCTTCTTGAGGAGAGCCGTCAAGGGTCTTGCAATCTCACCATATCCCTTAACGAACTTCCTATAGTAGCCAGTGAGGCCAAGGAACCCCCTCAACTCCTTTACGTTCCTCGGAATGAGCCACTCCTGCATCGCTTGTATCTTACTCATATCAGCTGACACTCCTTGTGCCGAGATGACATGACCCAGATAATCTATACTGCCACTGCCGAACCTACACTTCTTCTTGTTCGCATACAGCTCCTGCTGCTCCAACACCTTCAATACCACCTTCAAGTGCTCCTTGTGTTCCTCTTGAGTTTGACTGTAAATTAATATATCATCGAAGAACACAAGAACGAACTTTCGCAAGTGTGGCCGGAACACTTCATTCATGAGGGCTTGGAACGTGGCTGGGGCGTTCGAGAGCCCAAAGGGCATTACGAGGAATTCGTAATGACCGTCGTGGGTCCTAAAGGCCGTCTTGGGAACATCTTCTGACTTCACCAAGATTTGATGGTAGCCGGAGCGAAGATCCAACTTCGAAAACACTTTGGCTCCGTGCAACTCGTCTAACAGCTGATCAATCATGGGGATAGGGTACTTGTCTGCTACGGTGACTTTATTGAGGGCCCTGTAGTCCACGCAAAACCTCCAGCTTCCGTCCTTCTTCTTCACTAATAGCACTGGGCTGGAGAAAGGGCTCGCGCTTTCTTGTATAATACCCGCAGCTAACATTGAAGATATCTGCTTCTCAATCTCGGTCTTCTGAGCGTGGGAGTATCGGAACGGTCTTACACTGACAGGACGCAACCCTGGCTCCAGTGTTATTGCGTGTTCACTCCCTCTAGATGGTGGTAACCCCTCTGGCTCCTTGAACACCGTGGTGTATTCTTGTAGCAATGCTTGAAATTCTTTAGGACAAGCCGTTGATACATCTTTGTCTTCTGCAACCAACCCACCATACTCCACCAATACACCTTCCCCTTCGTGCTCCATCGCCTTCCATAAAGCCTTCAATGATACTGAAGCTGAGTGTAGACTCGGGTCCCCTTGTAAAAGGATCGCTTCTTCACCACACTGAACCCTCATCCACTGCAACTTCCAGTTGACTCTTACCTCTCCCAACGTTCCCAACCATTGCACTCCCAGGATGATGTCAGCAACACCAAGTTCCAAGGGAAGGAAATCAGAAATCAACATATACCCCAGAAGAGTGAGAGTAAGCTCCAGAATCTTTCCCTTCCCTTTCAGCGTCACTCCTCCTGCCACCTGAACCCCGTAACCTCCTATTTCCTTCTCCTCCAGCCCCAGCTTCTTCACAAATTTCTCTGAGATGAAATTGTGAGAAGCGCCACTGTCAATGAGAACAATGACTTCTTCCTCGCCGATTCGACCTCGTAAATTCATCGTTCTTGGCGAAGACAGCCCCACCACCGAATTAATTGATATCTCAGCCACCTCCGCCAATACTTCTTGCGTCTCTTCCGCCTCGCCTCCCCAATGTTCCTCCGCATATTCTACCTCAGAACCATCATCCATCACCATCACTACCATCAGCTCCGCCCGAGCACAAACATGTCTGTACCCGTACTTTTCGTCACAATGGAAACACAGCCCGTCTCGACGTCTCTGCTCTATCTCAGCCAGTGTGAGACGGCAAAACAGTGGTTTCAGTCGTCCATGTGTCGGCTTTCCCCCATTTCGTTGATTGTTTGCTCCTCCTCTGGGCCCAACGGACTGGTTATTGGGCTTCTTTTGGTGGTTATATGACCCATAACCCGTCTTTGGGCCTGTAGAGCCTGAACTCAATTTTTGCTCAGAGTGGGGTTTAGACGTCGGAGATTTCCTCGGAGAAAACCCATCGTTAGGAGGTTCCTCCCCCGTTGACCAGTCTTCTACTGTCCTGGACGTACTCATCATCTTCTCCAAGGTCTCCGGCTCGAACATCTTAACGCCTGCTCGTATCCTTGGCCTAAGCCCCTTCATGAAAGCCATCTTCAGCACTACCTCTGTGACCTCCGGGGCGTTGGTGGCCAAGGAGACGAAATCCCTGATGTACTCCCTCACGGTGCCCTCCTGACGTAAGGCCAAGAGCCTCTCGCCGGCAGAGGTGTCATGCATCTCGGAGAACTGCACGAACACTCGGTGACGCAGATCGGCCCAACTTGGAAAGGTGCTCCTATCGATACCAGAGCAGAGCCTCCCGACGAAACTCATCCTCACCACACGAAGCTTCTCCTCCTCCGTGAAGTCACCAACCTCAAAGTACTGTTCCATCCTTAAGACCCAATCATC